TCACCTCCTCTGGCCAATGGCTAGGACAAAGTGAGTCACCCCCTTGCCAGGATATTATTTCTGGGAGGCAAGAGGTGCAACCTTTCCTTGTTTTCCTGGCCAGAGTGTGTTTCCCTTAAGTTCCCAAACAGTAGATTCTCTCTGCACTGTGCAACTTAGTAGGTATGGAGAGAGGGGTAAGCGGAGAAGTAAAGCAAAGTTTGCATAGATTTTAGCAAATTCCTAATTTAATTCACAATACTGTTGCAGAATTTTCCAACACACATTCCACTGGATTCAGAGTAAGGTTTTCCTGAGAGTACTTTGTATGGCTGAGTATATATGTAAAGAATTGCACTGGTCCCATTAAAGCAATGGAATTAGTGATAACTTGCACCCCATTAAATAGGAACTAAGCACAACTAGTTTATTTGGCCCATTATTTTCATCTGCATATCATCATGACCCAAGTCCAGTGACAATGTGCACAGACATCCAGATTGTCTTAGCAAAATACATGTGTATGCTTACAACGTTCCTGACAATGAGTTGTGGCAACCATCTTTTTCTGACAGGCCAATGCAACCTTCCCTAACCTGGTGTCCCTCTGGTGTTGGTCTGTAAGCCCCATAATTTCCTGCCAGCATGGTCAATGGTTTCCAATCTTTTTAGACCTGTGGGCACATTTTGCAATCTAAGAAACTGTCCTGGACACCAACAAACTGCCATCGGAGGATGGATAGGCATGATGGACATGCATTGTACCCAAAAAGTAGGATCCTTCCTTTCTGCCAATACCAATATCAATACCTCCTCCATCACCTCTTTTTCACTCTCTCAGCGACTCACCACAAGTAGTCTCCCTCTCAGTCACCACTACCAAGCTTCCAGCAAGGGGAGACTGATGGCTCCTACTTTGTGGCCTTTCTTTTCGGCTTTAAAGGAGCTGTCCATGGTACTCAATGGTGTTGAACCTAGCTGCAGGATGGAGTTCAGCATCATGGATGGCACCTATAAAACTCAAAGGCTGCCATAGATGAGTAGCCCTTCCAACACACCAGCCTCCTCTGCCTCTAGCTGTCCACCCATCCATTCGCTCACACAAACACACTTCTTCCACAAAAACAGGATCCCTCTTTCTTCCTAAACCCCAGCTGCCCTCCTCAGCACACCAGACAGCAGCAACATTCCCTGTCCCCGTGGACACTGGGTGTGTTGCAAAGGAATGGACCAGCCTGCATCCATCCATCTCCATTTCTTAAAAATGTTTCTTAAACCCCATGCACAGTAGCTGGATGTTCTCATTACCCCTTAATGTCATCCCAGCTGCTGGTAACAGAATGTGCTAATTTAAAAACCCTAAAAAGTGGGGGTGGTGGGGTACTGGATGCCTTGGGAACACATTGGTGCTGATAGACATTGTCTTTTCCAACTGTACAAGGTGCCAGATTTGGGCTGCGGTATGGATTTAAATACCTTTGCAGCCATGACACACATTGGAATAGCTCAGGCCCAATAATCGCTCTCAGTTTAACATCTCTTGTGATTACTATAAAGGGTTATGCAGGGGAGGGGGGATGAGGTATACAAAATACTGTGTGTGTACACACACACACACACACACACACACACACTTATCCCTACATCTTACATATAGGCGACTCCCTTTCAAAATATAAATTCAGGCCTTTGGAAGATATTTATGCTACTTGCTCTCATTTGTGCTGACTACTGAACGTGCCTTTTTATTCTAAAGTATTTATATTTGCAAATGAACATGTCACAAAATAAAATAAAAATTTAGCATCACAGTGGCCATCTCTTGTTTCATTATTATCTCTCTGGAAGACATGTCCAGTGCCAATACCTTCACAAATATGCTGTGTTGTTCATTTTTATATCAGGATATGGGGATCATATTTCAAGGCTTCCACTTTTACTATTTTATCCAATATTCAATGCAAATAATAAATGTCAAAACTGGAAGTGCTGGGCAAGACAAAATAAACCAATAAATGGAATAAACTCAAGGCTTCTTTTCCTGTTGATATAATCCCTTAAATCTAATAAAACGGCATCATAAGATAAACTACATCACATCATCCCAACAAAGCTGTTTTCACAAGCCAAGGTGTGACACTTCATTGTCCATTAAGTCAGTGAATATGATCCAGAAAATGGCAGGAATGTAAAACTCACTGAAATTTATTTCAGTGATCAAAGAGTAATCAGCAATGGTTGCAATCTGAAGCATTTTTCCCTAGAAATATGGTCTTTTGAAACCAGCAGAATGTAATTTTTAGTAAACTACTGTATAACTCTATGCCACATTTATTTCAATAGGATTTTAGTCTTCAACCTGGCTTCTTGGCATTTTGGCTGAGAATTCTGGAACTTGTAGGCTAACACATTTGGGGAGCTCCTTATTGCAGAAGGATAGTGTTGCTCTGGATTGTGCCCATTTTGTGTAGTTTTTGAAACACCAGTTTTAGGATCAAATTCTATGCATGTCTGGGTAGAAAGAAAAACTAGTCATACAGCTCGCAGTGTGACTGGCTAAAGTTATAGGATAAACTAGGATTGTGCACTTAAGGAAATGTTTTGGTTCTTACGCTCATTTTAAATGATACTGTTCTGATCAGCTCCTAGAGACAGTCACAGGACAAAAACAAAACCCAATACACAGTGCTAACATGATTGTATTGTATGTAATAATAATTTAACCAAATGGATTTCTATGTCAGAATTAGTATTTCAAATGCTGCAGTGCTATCAATAATTATAAATAAAAGCAGAGAAACCTTCAAAATATACTTGCAGAAGCTTCTGTGAGAACTAGAAAGAAAAATAACTGAAACTCCCAATGGGAGTTTATTGGCTCAGATTAGTTTAAACACTCCAATTAAACTGCTTTGAAGAGTGTAGTTTAAACAAGAGAGTATTTCTGTCTGCTATTTTTTACCGTCATCTGCCAAAACATATAGCTTAATTCTCTCTCTCTCTCATCAAATGCTGAATTTGCAGTCATGTGAAAGAAACAAGAGTCTACTGCTAACCCCCACTTTGTGTTTCTAAGCTGAATGCAATGAGATGCTAAAGCAAAACAAACACCTGTAAGTACCAGGAAAAACACTACTAAAATAGGAGTTGAAAACAAGCTGTTTAATTCTGTAACAGCCAGCACATAAAGTCAAGCAGGCCTTATGGCAGCCTTCGCCAACCTGGTGGCCTCCAGATGTCAAATTCAGCTCCCATCCATTCCATTCAGCATAGCCAATTGTCAGAAATCTTAGCGTTGTAGTCCAAAACATCTGGAAGGCACCAGACAAAGACCAGCCCAGGGCTGATGTTTCTAAGGGCTCTATCTCACCTGCAGGCCAGAAGTTTTATGGTTCTTGGAAAAAAATGGTCTGCCATTGCACAACTTGGGGCAACTTACCCAAGTGGATTGTCAGTGCTGTAGCTGTATCTTTAACAACTCACAATGCAGATACCAGCAGCTAATAATATGTGTCTATAGAGAACTGTTTTCCAAGTGGTAATTTACACCCTTTTCATATTTCCACTTGGATCTAGCTGGATCGGCCATTCTGTTAACAGAATGGCCAACCAGATGCTCATGAGAACTGCAGAGTATGATGGTAGCTTCCCTCCCTCTCATGTTCTCTCGCAATTGCGGCCACTCTCCTAATTCCCTGATCTGAGCAAGAGTAGAAGTGTGGTAAGTTACCACTTAGGAAAATTGTTATTTTCCACTGTTACTTGCAGATTTATGCACATCAAGCTGTTGTGAAAAGACAGGTTTTTTCCTCGTGAGTACGTAGCAACACTGTCTGCCATTAAGGCGAGCATATTGTCAATTATTTCGGACTTAATTCTTTGCATGTTCGAACCAAAAAAAAAAAAACTACAGCTCCCAGCATTCCCTAAATAGCCATGTTGCTGAGGAATGCTGGGAGTTGTAGGGTAGTTTTCCGTCTAAACGTGCATGAGAGCACACCCTTAGTTTCATTATACATTAACTATTATAGATCGTTTGGATTTTCTGTCACTGACACTAAAACTTCTCAGTCCACCTCAGATGAAATTAGTATCGACCATAAGGTCTGGGAACACATGAGTGCCTATGAGAAGCTGCTTTAAGAACAATTCCGGCGTAGGGCACAACTGAGCCTCATGACAGACAAGTTTCAGCAGATAAGGCTTTGTCTCGGCATATATATGGAAAACTGGTATTGCTCAAAAAGGGCGGGCGCCCTATCAAAAGAAAATGTACCAATCCTAACTCTGGCGTATCTGCAACGTTATGCCTTAGAGCGCAATCCTGTACATATTTAGGCAGAAAAACGTCCTACAACTCCCTGCAAGCTGGCTAGGGCACGCTGGGAGCTGCAGAACTTTTTTTCTGCTTAAGTATGCGCAGGATTGCATGTTCAATCGATTATAGTTAAAAAAAAAAAAAGGTCCTCGCCCTTTAAACGCCCCATCCACCGAGATACGTAACAGAGATCCCATGTACTGAAACGGTTTAAGATTTCCATTTAGAATTGCTCTGCCACAATGCCGCGATAAACTCCAGATTTTCTTTCGCTCCGCGTGTTCCTACTCGAAGCGTCAAACAGAGCGGAGCAGGCTAAACCAACGACGGGCGTGGAGGGAGAGAAAATAGATCTACATTAGTGTTCTCTCTGTCTCCCCCTTCATCTCGTGCATCGGCATTCGCTGTGGCTCTGAGCCCTTGAAGATCAGCTAGGAACGTACCATTATCAGAGAGATGGGGGCTAGGCAGCAGTTTTAACGCTCTCTGAGGTGCGCTTCGGCCGTGAAAGGCAAAACAACTGTATAATTTAAACGAAGGACCCGCCAAAGCTGAATAAAGGAAAAGAAAAAAGAAAACAGATGCACACGTGCAAGCCTTTGGTCCCTCTGGTGCCCGGTTTTGCTTGGCGAAGACAACTGTGTGCTCTTGATCCCCCTTGTGTTAGGAAGGGAATGGTTCAGTCCATCGGGTAACCGCTTCCTTCTCCAGAGCGCGCTCCCTCCCAGCCTCTCCGCCGCTGTCGCCGCTGTCTCGGAGGTGGGGGGTGGGAAGAGGAGGCGGGAGTCCTAGCGCGCCGAATCCTCTTCAGGCGGGGCCCAAGATGTCGGTGGCGTTCGCGGCCCCCAGGCAACGGGGGAAGGGCGAGATAACGCCGGCTGCTATCCAGAAGGTGGGCAGTGGGGCCTAGACTGGGGAGTCTGCCTAGCCCGGAAGACGGCTGGGGTTGGGCGTCGCGTTTCGTTAGCCCTGTGCCAGCCCCATCATGGAAGGGCGCGGGGTTGGGATAGTTGACGTCGTTCAGTTTGTGATTAGAACCGGAGAGTGTCTCTCTCCTCGAGCGTGGGTTAAACTGGAAAATCTGGAAAACTAAGATAAAGAGGAGGAGCAGGAGGATAAAAGTAATACTTGCCTTTCTGCTCCCCTCAGTCGCCTATTAAAATACTTTAGACTGCTCTTCTATGCATTTTACTTGAGAGTAAGCTCGATTTAAAGCGGTGGAGTTGATTTTTGATCGGCATGCAAAGAGCTGATCTGTAAATCAAGGCGGTTCATATTAGGTTTGGGTTTCTGTAACGTAATGGTTAGACTAGGACTCAGGAGACAGGGTGCTCATCTCTATTCAGCCAGGAGACTTGGCCTGTCACAAATTGTGAATCTAACCTACTTCACGGGATTGTTGTGAGTGTAAAATGATGTGGGGAAAGATTGAGTAAACCACCATGGATTACTTTCTGAACTATCTCCAAACTAAAATATAGTTTTTCTTCAGTATTTGGGCTAAAATGCCTGTATGAAGGGAAAGTATAAAAATGAGTATATTGGAGGATGATATACACTACATATGAGGAGAAATTATTGTCAAAAAGCTTTTTGGAGAAAATGTCACCAAAAATGTGCATATTTAGAGAAATGCTTACAAAAACATTGGTCAAAAATGAGATAATGGGATTAAAATTGAAAAAACAGAAAAGCTAAAATTGGTAGATTTGTTAGTCATTATGAACATGGGGCTTCCAGTTATGCATATTGATTCTTTTAACTTCCAATGGACTTGTTCCTTAAGGAATTACCTAAAAGCAGGCATGTTTTTTGAAAGTAAAGTACTAAAATAAGGTTCTGTGATGAAGACAAAGTAAAGGAAGTATTAGCTGCCATTCTGCTTCAATGTTTGAGATTGGGGAGCTGATAAATTACAGTGGGACACTATTTTGGCCTGGGAATATAAGCTTCAGTTAACCTACATTATTGTAAGTTACATAGCCTGGGAAGGTAAAAGATCACTGTATTTTACAGTTGTCATGGCTCATGTAGAAGGATGGAAGGGAAAACAGTGATAGACTGCACTACTGTTGCTCTTGAAAAAATTGGTTACAGTTAAAATAAGTACTTAAAATTGATGGTGTTGGTTTAAATTATCTTGCATATGATTTATTACCTGTGTCTCATGGTGTGGATAGGAAATTAATAAGAGGGTTTTGTGCTGTTCAAACTTTACCTGTTAAGTGAAAAATTCCTGTTGGAAAGTTTGTAAACATCCACATGCAGAAAGATCACTATAGAAAATGTATATAGCTTGTGGTGTTATGACAGTCATAGCAATAGTTGCGAACTAAGAACTTAAAACAATTTCCAGAGGGGTAGCTCTGTTAACATATTACAGCGAAAACAGTAAGAAACTTGCGGAAATTTAAGGGCTACCAAACATAATGCTTATACCAGAATAATGTGTTACCCTTTAGAGTGCCACAAGGTTTTGTCCTAAGAACTTAAAAGTTCTCACTGTTGCATGTTTAAGACATCTTGCCAGTAATTTCACACCAGATTTGTTAAAACCAATGGTATTGTTCCAGGACTATTTTGAAATATCAAACTTACGTTTTTTTCTGGTTTGCCATAGTGTGCAACAAACTAAAATCAAGATGCTTTTTCAAGTCTTAGTCAAGGTCACCTCCTGCTTTATTTACAGTGTGACAGTTGCATTAGAAGGATTGCAATAAGATAATTTATATGAAGTGCCTTAGATTAGGAATGGATAACCTTTGGGGAGGTCAAGGACTGCATTCCTTTGAGAAAAGTGGGTAGGGTAAAAATGAGAAGTCGGTGAGGACACTGTCTTTCCTCTTTAATTCATCCATAAGCCAATCTTTTGCGCTTACATTCATCTATTCATTAATTCATTATCTCTCTCATACACATGCACTCTCTCACTCTCAGGAAAGTGGAGCAGCACAGCCTCAAATACCCTTCTCTTTCACCTTCTATTCTTTCTTTATATCAGTATGTTTATATACAGATGCACACTGATCCATCTATTCCCATTCCCACAGTTCCATCCTTACCTTCTGATTCCCACTTTTCTGCATACACTGTTGTACATCCCCCTGTTCATGCACTTACTTAAATTATCACTTACGTTCAGTTTAACTTACCTGCCATGCTAGGTTGGGAAGAGGAGACTTCTCTTTCTTCTTGTCTAACAGGATGGAAGGAGGCAGCAACATTTGGTATGAGGTGGGTGTGTCTTGGGCAGCCAATGTAGGCTGCACTGAAGGCTTCTAAGTGCTGTGTGGTATGTGTTGCCCTCATTAGCCAGGGAAAGAAATTGTGGAATCCTCAGTAGCTTGCTGTGATGAATTTGCCCAGCACTTTGAGGATAAAGGTACTCAGATTTGCATGAATTGGACTCCACACTCAATACAATTCTGTTAATAGAGGCATCCAGAGCATCATATGGTCCACTAACATTTAAAGCCTTACATAGTTTGGGACCAGGTCATCTAAAGGAAAACCTCTTTTTGTATGTGCCTACCTGGTCCCTGCAGTCTTCATCTGCTCAGAGAGCCCCTTTTAAAGGAAGCGAAGAGGGTGGCTACTAGGGAAAGGGCCTTTTCAATTGTGACACCCTGGTTATGGAGCCAGCTCCCCAAAGAGATGTGCCTGGTACCCACTTTTTATGCTTTTTACTGCCAGGTAAAAACCTTTTTATTTACCCAAAATTTTAAAACATACAATGTAAAATGGATTTTAAAAATCTTGTTATGTTTCATTTGGTACTGCTGCTATGCTATTGAAATTGACCTGGTTGTGCCTTCTGGGGGTCTGCTGAGTATATTGTGGGTATGATACTGTGGGTATTGTTTCTGCGATTTTATGTATTATAGTGATTTTTATTGTTGGTATATATTTTAATGCTGTAAATTGTGTAGGGAGCCTTTTTTTGGCTGATGGATATTATACAAATAAATGTGCTTTACAGTGAAAGTGCTATATCAGTGCTAAGCATAAATGTCCAGTCCAACACAGAAGTGTTCTGGAGATTGAAGGTATCAGTATATGACTTCAAAAAGAGAGTGTCCCAGAAAGATCAGCTTTGTGGACAGAACTGGGGAGCCTCATGGGTCAGATTAGGCTTGTGGGCCAGAGGGTCCCTATATCTTGTATGTGTCTGTGGGGAAGGGAGTTGGGGTAAATTGGAATGGAAGGAAAAAGTAATGAAGCTGAACTCAGGATTCCCCAGGGTAACTAGCAAAGTTCATGACCTGAATTCAAAACAAATATTGTGGTGAAATATTATTATTGATTTTATTTCTATGCCATCCAATAGCTAAAGCTCTCTGGGTGGTTTACAGCAATTCATAAAACAGAACAAAATATAGTACAAAATTAACAAAATGCACAATTGTATTTACAAATACAAAATACATTGCTTTAAAAACAAAAATCAAACAACTTAAATAAGGGCACAGTTTCAGGATCCCCTGGCATTTGATGGCCAGAGAATTATTTGGAGTCCCAGCATCAGGCAGAGAGCATGAACTGAAGTCTGGAAAATGAGAAACTGACATGAACAGATTTTCTATTTTTCATGATTCTTGTAGCTCACCATGAACAGCTGCTGCTCAGCTTGGCAGCTCTTAGATTGTGCAGGTCTCTATGAAGTGCTCATTGACAAAATGCAATGTAAACCTGAAGCATTCTGCCCTGGCTATTAAATATAGAATATTCAATATGTTTATACACAACTATAATTCTAAGTATAGATTGGGATAAATTAACTCCCATTTGGATTAGCAATCCTTTTCAAACTTTCAAAAAAATATTTAAAACCTGTGGCATATTAAAAAGGCGAATGATTGAAAATAAGGTTTCAATTTGATTTTGATCATTCATTCTCTCAACATCTAATCCGAAACAATCAGTTAGAATGGAGTTCAGTTTGTACTAGAATAATTTAACCTTATTTTCAGAACATGTTTTATTTCAGATGTTGGATGAAAACAATCATCTTATTCAATGTATAATGGACTACCAGAATAAAGGCAAAACTTCAGAATGCTCTCAGTAAGTTTATTATTTGAATGTAGTTCATGTTCACTCTTGTCATCTTTGAAAGAATGGACTATGCTTGTGGATCAGGTCTTTCAGGTGCACAAAATAGATTGCATAATCTGGGACCTGATAGTTATATGAAGAAATTTATTGACTCTCCTTAGGCAGTGTTACTGACAACTACTCAGTTAGAACAAGTACTATTTCCATCTGGGCAGTTAGTTGCCAGAGTATCTATTCTGTGACATGCTGGTGAAATTCTGAATGGACAGGTCAAGATAGTAATGCAATCCCAAATGCATTACCTAAAGCTCTGCAAACTTGGAAGAAAATAAAGCAGACTTTGGTGGCTGCACCTAGAGAGCAGATTTCCCTAAGTGTTTTATGAAGGTAATTCTGGAAGGTGGGTGCCAGAAATGAAAATGCTCTGTCGTGTGCTCTCTATGGTGTGAAAGACAAACAGGGCAACCCTTCTGCAAAAGAAGACCCCTGTGAAAAAACATAGAAACAGAGCGAGTCAGAAGGGGCTTCCCGGGCCATCTAGTTTGACCTCCAGCACCAGCCGGCTCCGCTCACAACATGCCCACCATGTGCACATCCAACCTATCCTTGAACACTCGCACTGATGGAGCCTCAGTGACCTCTCATGGAAGCCCATTCCACACCCTCAGGGTCCTAAAAAGACCTACAGGATGTGTGTAACCAAGGTTGTTAAGAGGTTTAATTGTCAAAACTTGCTCCTTGAAATGGGCCCTAAAATTGGTATTCAATGCATGCGAGTCATTATACAAGTATTCTGCTTCTTTCTATATCTGCAGAGAAGTATGGCATTCTGTACCAGTTGCCACTGAAATGCTGTTTTCAGGGACACAACACAATAAGTACAATGCATTATTTGGATGGTCATGACACAAGAATTTTAAACAGTGAATTTTGCATCTTTTATTTCTTTTTTAAAAATAGGTATCAGCAGTTGCTACATACAAACCTAGTGTACTTAGCTACAATAGCGGACTCCAATCAAAATATGCAATCTATACTGCCACCAGTAAGTACCTGTTAAATATAATGTACGTATTCTTCCTTGCATGAGGATGCTGTATTTGATCTATATAGGGACTAACTGTTCTGCATGTCTTCTTGCTCTTTGTGCCATGTATCTACAGACATTTTCTCACATGTTATAGTACAAAACTAAAATCTCATTACTACTAATTGTTGTTGTTGTTAGTCGCAATGTCGTGTCCGACCCATCGCGACCCCATGGACAACATTCCTCCAGGCCTTCCTGTCTTCCACCATCCCCTGGAGTCCACTTAAGCTCACACCAACTGCTTCAGTGACTTCATCTAGCCACCTCATCCTCTGCCGACCCCTTCTTCTTTTGCCATCTATTGTTCCCAGCATTAGGCTCTTCCCCAGGGAGTCCTTCCTTCTCATTAGGTGGCCAAAGTATTTGAGTTTCATTTTCAGGATCTGGCCTTCTAAAGAGCAGTCAGGGTTGATCTCCTCTAGGACTGACAGGTTTGATCGCCTTGTGGTCCAGGGAACTCGCAGGAGTCTCCTCCAGCACCACAATACAGAGGCCTCTATCCTTCAGCACTCAGCCTTCCTTATAGTCCAGCTTTCACAGCCATACATTGCAACTGAGAAAACCAAAGCCTTGACTATACACACTTTTGTTGGCAGGGTGACGTCTCTGGTTTTTAGTATACTGTCTAGATTTGCCATGGCTTTCCTCCCCAGGAGCAAGCATCTTTTAATTTCTTGGCTGCAGTCCCTGTCTGCAGTGATCTTGTGGCCCAGTAAAATAAAATCTGTCACTGCTTCCATTTCTTCCCCATGTATTTGCCAGGAAGTGAGAGCACCAGATGCCATGATCTTAGTTTTCTTAATGTTGAGTTTCAAGCTAACTTTTGCACTCTCTTCCTTCACCCACATCAAGAGGCTCTTTAGTTCCTCTTCACTTTCTGCCATTAGAGTGGTATCATATGCCTATCTGAGGTTGTTGATATTTCTCCCAGCAATCTTAATTCCAACTGGTGATTCATCTAGCCCCACCTTTCTCATGATGTGCTCTGCATATAAGTTAAATAGACAGGACGACAGTATACAGCCTTGCCGAACTCCTTTCTCAATTTTGAACCAATCAGTGGTTCCATGTCCAGTTCTCACTGTTGCTTCTTGACCCGCATATAGGTTTCTCAAGAGACAAATAAGATGGTCTGGGACTCCCATCTCTTTAAGAACTTGCCACAATTTGTTGTGATCCACACAATCAAAGGCTTTAGCATAGTCAATGAAGCAGAAGTAGATGTTTTTCTGGAACTCCCTAGCTTTCTCCATGATCCAACGTATGTTGGCAATTTGATCTCTAGTTCTTCTCCCTCTTTGACATCCTGCCTGTACTTCTGGTACTTCTCGGTCCACATACTACTGGAACCTAGCTTGTATGATTTTGAGCATGACTTTGCTAGCATGTGAAATTGGCATTGCCCTTCTTTGGGATGGGAATGTAAACTAACCTTTTCCAATCCTGCGGCCACTGTTGAGTTTTCCAAAGTTGCTGGCATATGGAGTGTAGCACTTTTCCTGCATCGTCTTTTAAGATTTTGAATAGCTCAGCTGGAATACTGTCACCTCCACTAGTTTTGTTGTTGCTCAGACTTCCTAAGGCCCATTTGACTTCACATTCCAGGATGTCTAGCTCGAGGTCAGTGACCACCCCATCGTGGTTATCAGGGACATTAAGCTCTTTCTTGTATAGTTCTTCTGTGTAATCTTGCCACCTCTTCTTAATCTCTTCTGCCTCTGTTAGGTCCCTGCCATTTTGGTCCTTTATCATGCCCATCTTTGCATGAAACATTCCCTTCATATCTCCAATTTTCTTGAAGAGAGATCTCTAGTCCTCCCTATTCTATTGTTTTCTTCTATTTCTTTGCAGTCTTCATTTAAGAAGGCATTCTTATCTCTTCTAGCTATTCTCTGGAATTCTGCATTCAATTGGGAGTATCTTTCTCTTTCTCCCTTGTCTTTCACTTCCCTTCTTTCCTCCGCTATTTGTAAAGCTTCCTCAGACAGCCATTTTGCTTTCTTGCATTTCTTTTTCTTTGGGATGGTTTTAGTTGCTACCTCTTGTACAATTTTTCGGAGTTAATTCTAGAAGGTGTTGTAGGCCTTCATAGAATCGGTCAACTTCAGTCTCTTCAGCACCGGTGGTTGGGGCATAGACTTGGACTACTGTGATGTTGAATGGTTTGCCTTGGATTCGAACTGAGATCATTCTGTCATTTTGCAGATTGTATCCCAGTACTGCTTTTCTTATTCTTTTATTGACTATGAAGGCTACTCCATTTCCTCTGAGGGATTCTTGCCCGCAGTAGTATACCTGATGGTCATCTGAATTAAATTCACCCATTCCTGTCCATTTTAGTTCACTGATTCCTAAGATGTAGATGTCTTGTCATCTCTTGTTTGACCAAATCCAGCTTGCCTTGATTCATGGATCTTACATTCCAGGTTCCTGTGGAGTATAGATCTTTGCAGCATCAGACTCTCCTTTCACCACCAGATACATCTGCAACTGAGTGTCCTTTCAGCTTTGACCCAGTCACTTCATTCTTTCTGGCGCTACTAGTACTAGCCCTCCACTCTTCCCCAGTAGCATATTGGACAGCTTCCGACCTGAGGGGCTCATCTTCCGGCATCATATCTTTTTGCCTTTTGGTGTACTGTCCATGGGGTTTTCATGGCAAAGATACTGGAGTGGGTTGCCATTTCCTTCTCCAGCGGATCATGTTTTGGCAGAGCTCTCTGCTATGACCTGTCCATCTTGGGTGGCCCTGTACAGCATAGCTCATAGCTTCATTGAGCTACGCAAGCCCCTTCGCCACGACAAGGCAGTGATCCATGAAGGAGTACTACTAATTACTTATGAATAATATTTTGAACTAGTTAGTTTTCATTAAAATACTGCTACTGTAACAATATTTTTTTTCATTGCCATGTATTTAAACTTTGAGCTCTTCTTAATTGCCCACAGAAGCTTTTATTAAAGAGCTATTTTACACTTCATGTTAGGGTAGTATTTGAGAAAAGTAAATAAAATCCAGTGGTATCTTTTGTTTACCTAAGATACTGCATTACTTTTTGCACAAATGGAAGCATGAGAACTGTTAGAGAACCTACCAAGCACAGTACTGTATATAACTTGTCGCAGAATTTTGGGCAAGCCATAGCAGCTATTTTTTTTCCAGGCATAGTTCTTTGGAGACAGCCAATTTAACTCAACGGAACAAATGAGATGCTCAGACTTAGTATTTGTTTAATTGATAATCCATCTTATAAGATAATGGGCTGTGTCCCAGTAGAATCTTATCTCATACTTTTGAAAATTCAGCACTACTAAGTCACGAAAGAGAAAAATCAGACAGAGAACATGGTAGGAGAAAAATACATTTATAGCTGCAATCCTAGCAACGATAAAATACCTGGAAGTTGCTTGGGCTTTAGAAATGGAAATAGAAAGTTGAAGAAAGTATCTGTTAAGAATGTTTCTCAGTTATGCCCTTCTAATAATGTGTTGTATGGTTTGGAGAGCATACACTCAATTAATCAAAGGAATTTCAGCAGGGCTAAAACTTAGGATACTAAGACCTATGTAGGGCAAGGGTAGTGTAGTGGTTAAAAGTGTAGGATTGGAATTCAGGATATCTGGTTCTAGTCTCCTCTCAGCCAGGGTGCTAGCTGGGCCATGTCACAGACTCTTAGCCCAACCTACCTCACAGGGTGGTAGTTGTGAGGATAAGATTGTGAGTAGTTGTGAGGATAAGAGGAGGCAGAAAATTATTTAAGCAATGTTGAGTTCTTTCAAAGGAGAAAAGACAGACTGTACATATGTGCGTGTGTGTGTGTGTATGTAAGAAAGTCAGGGGTCTGCAACTGTTTTGGACCTTGAAAAACTGCTGTGGGCACCACCACAAAATGCCTAATCAGTAGATAGCCACATTGGCATCTGCACCTATGAATATTAGTCTACATCTTACTCTGCAAAAACTTTAGGTTTGCATTGATTGTATACCACAGAATATGCAATATTTAATAAGAAATTGTCTAATTTGGGTAATTGCTGGTGGTACAATGCAGTTAGTGTTTCTTTTAAACATACTCTGGCAATGTCCAGGAGGAGAAGGTTATTACACCAAATAGTGTACTGGAACAGTATTTAATATTCATTGATGTGTAGCTCTTTAATATTATTTAGCTGTTTCATCACAATTAACAAAAAGAAGGGGGATGGATTCTCTATGCCCCTTTAACAGGTAAAAGGCTCAGATAACAAAACTGAGTTTATAAAAATTGTCCTTCTAAGTGCCTTACAGTGATTTCAATATTTGAACTGGTGGCATATAAATCCCAACATCAAATGCATAACTATTTAGATATTTAGTCTGCCTTTGTTGAAGCTTATGTATAGTTGCTAGAAAATATTATGCATTTCATGAAAATCCATGTACATATATTAAATAGAAAATAACAAAAACAATTAGGGGTACCACACAGGTACCATGTTGGGGATTCATTTGTGGATTCTACTGGAAGTTCCCATGGGCATCATGGCACCCATGAGCAAAGCTTTGGGGACTCTTGGTCTAAGCTGTTTTGTAGCACTGGTATAAAGGCATCTGATAAATCACTTCAATCAGGGGAGTATCTACTGAAGGTCCAGAGTACAACTGGGCAAGGAATGTAAAAGCTAGGGTTTTTAAAAATTAGCCCCTGATGTAAAGATCAACATGGATTCTTTTCTTTATACCCTTCCTTTGTTATTATAGACTGTTAAATAAAATGCTTTCTCTAGCCATACAACTTTACCCTACTAGTGTAGTGAAAGAAAGTTGCCTTACAGCTTTTTTACACAGTCATCTATTAGAGGATTCCTATCAGTTGAGGCAGGGAGATCTGAAGACAGAGAAGGTGTCTTATCCATGATACTAGCAGGTTCGTGCTAGCAAAGTGAAAGGAAAGGGCAATGAACTTTTCTTCTGCTTTTCAGGGTGGATTGCTTGCTTGTTTTGGTAATTACCCTCTTGTTGGAAGCAATGGGAGGAAATCCTGTATGCCAGCAGTAGCAATGTCAGACATTTCTGTGTTGGTGTTTGTGTGGCTGGTGTTTATGATAGATTTCCCCCAAGTTGGACACAACAAACCTCCCAGTCAGCATCCTTTTCATCTCTACAGATGTAAAGAAAAAAAATGCCATGTCCTCAGAAGTTAATAAAGGGCATTGGAATGGGCATCTAAGATTGGATCTTCATTTCTTAGGGTGGGGTTTCCCCCCTCTGGGAGACAATGCAATCCGTCCTGTGGCCACCTGAGACACCGCCCCAGGGTATTCTTAGAGATCCTAGGATTACATCCAAACTGTTGGCAGCTGTGAAAGCCATTGACTGCTGGTTGGTTGGTGTATTTTAGATTGCCTTGCCTTTCTGCAAACTGGCCTCAAACTACTCTGTGTATCTGCAGCATGGGTATTTATTTATTTTATTTAAAACTTTTATATGCTGTCACCACATGCCTTGGCGTCTCGGGATGGCTTACAAACGTACAATTAAAACCGATAAAACAATAACAATTCCATAAAATTATATAAAACAAAAAGCAAAAAAGTGACGGTTAATGATAAAATATTAATTTTTTAAAATAGCAATTAAATAAAAAGGTTTTAACCTGACACCGAAAAGAATATAAACTCGGTGCTAGGCACACCTCTCCAGGGAGTGCATTCCATATCTGCGCATAAGCAATATAGTATTTACATAATTTTTAAAAGTTTCATACATTTTATTTTTCCATTTAAAAATATTTACTACTGAATTGATACGAAGTTCTAAATTCTGAACTTCATGCAGTGGTTCCTATTTCTGCTCTCAATGCAATGTTTATAATCTGGTATACATTTAGTTCCAGCGACTTACTCAGAAATGAAATCCTAGTTTGTTGTCCTCAGTGTCTGCTACTTGCAGTTCAATAACTTATCTTCTAGCTCCCATGATCCATTAATGGGTACCTGCCCTTGTTTCATAATTGACTGCTTCTTTTCCAATGACTGGAGGAAATTATAGTACCTTATCTTTTTCCTGTAAGAATGAATGTAATAATTTTGTTTTGGGAGATGTATAATTTTGAAACATTGTTTCTGAAGTTAGCTTTTCTTTTGGAATAGATATTGCTTTATTTCAGGACAGATTTTCATAAAAGCACTGTTAAGTGTTAGCTTCTGCTAAAGAAAACAAACCTTGCTTTCAAGTCACACATTTAATTTTATATCAGATAAATAAAGGCAAGGGATCAGCTATGAAAAGATGAAATACTGATGCTTGTATAATATGCAGTGTGAGTCAGAGGAGCTACCACTTGCACAAATCACTTGCTTGGTGTGATTGTTTTAGGAAATAAGGTAGTTCTTCTAATGATTACATCTTCCATCTGTAGTGGGATATTTTTCAGTTGTATGATGGTAATAGTATAGATTATAGTCACATTGCAAATTACTGCTTATGTTAAAAATTACCCTTTCAGTTCTGTGGAGAACTTGAAGTTGACATAGAAGGATCCCAGCTTAGAAACTAGTAGAGCTCAGAAATCATCTATATCTGCATATTGGCATAATTTATATTTGATTAACAGTGATATATTCATATGGCCCTTCTATGTAATATTTCTCATGCAAGAAAATGAGATGTTTATGGGGATAGGATTGGTACTTTTGCTTCTGAAGTATTTTAAGTTTGGCTTCTGAAGTTCTTTACAGTTATCTTCAGTTCCCATTAACTCTCCTAGAGTAGAATCTAAGTTACTTAGTTCTTCTTCTCACTATCTCATTAATATGTTTTCCAAAAAGCTGTCTTAAAAATCTACTACTTAATAGGCCAGGAATTATATGCTTCTGGTCAGTAGTGGATGTCAACTTGAAATATCCTAGTCAAACAGGATCCGGTGGTGTCTGACTGCTGGTGCTGAGCTAACAGAAACCTGTCACACTAACATGTGCTGTTAACATTGCACAGGCCTTAGTTTTCATTAGAACATAAATAATGTTAGCAGCTGGATACCACTGGATCATTCTATAGTTGAGTGCAGCACATAATCCTTAATAAAAGAGGCAAGTTTCTGTCCATGCATGAGATGTCCTGGCAACCTTGCAGTTCGAAAGCATACAAATGCAAATAGATAAAAAGGTACCACTTCATTGGGAAGGTAACAGTGTTGTGTGCACCTTGGTGTTTAGCCATGCTGGGCATATGACCATGGAAACTGCCTGTGGACAAACGCTGGCTCCCTTGGCCAGGAAGCGGAGATGAGCACCACACCCAAGAGACAGACATGACGGGACTTTAATGTCACGAGGAAACCTTTACCTTTATCTTTATGAGATGTCACAGAAGTAATGTGTTCTATCCAGCAGTGCCACTCAGTGAGTGGAAGGATCTTTAATGCACTGGAGGGTCTTACTAATGAAATGAGGAGCAGGGCGATTTTTGCTGATCTCTTCCTCCCTCTGCACTGCCCTCCATTCCACTATTATTGCTATTTTGGAGACTTATCCAGCTGATTTTCAGGAGGCTGTATGGGAAGGAGGCCACTAGTAGAAATAATCTTCTCTCCTACTTCTTTAGAAGGCACCAGAAATGCCCATTCCACAAATAGGAAATTTACATTCAGAATGATATAATATTAATTTGGTCCCACATTCAAAAGTAAAAGGTTTAACACTTTGGTTTATTAGAGGAATATGAGGGGAAAGTGTGTCATTTAAGGTCATTCTTGTTGATCGTGCAGTACTGAAAAATCTGACAGAACTGAGGCCACTAGATAATGGGAAAGATTACATGTATCAGAAGAGATAATGACCATGTTTGATTATATAGCTGAAATACACAGAGAGAGAGAGAGAGAGAGACAGAGAGAGTTTATTTGTTGGACTAACTGCTTGTGTTTCAATAAATTTTCTTCCAGCCACCCACACAGAATATGTCAATGGGTCCAGGAGGAATGAGTCAGAGCGGCCCTCCCCCACCTCCACGTTCTCATAATATGGGTTCAGATGGTATGGTAGGTGGGGGCCCTCCTGCACCACACATGCCAAACCAGATGAATGGCCAGATGCCTGGTAAGTTTTTCTCCTAGAAGACGTTACCACTGGGGTTGCTCAGCAACTGAAACAACATGTGGGCTCAAGGGATATAAGATTGTTGATGACAAAACTGTGCTCTTAGAGTTGTTAGCTACAGAGCTACGTGACCTGTATTCTGTGTTTATCAGGCTGCCCTTGGGCTTTGATGTAGCTGACACACAGCATTCCTCTGAACAGAACTAGCTATATTTAGTCTGTCTGAAACCATATACTACAGCTGTACTTAGAAGGTCTACTGAAGAAAGGTTTTGGTCTAGGGCTGAATAAATTCTCCTTGAAAAAAATCAACTAAATCCATGACAGCTAAGTTAGCATAATAAGTAAGAAATATGAAGCTAATGGAAAAGTCATTTAGACAAGAAGTTAAATTTCTTCTAATCTTCCATATGACGTACAAAAAAGACAAACTGTAGAGTACTTTCCATGAAAAATACTTCAGAACCTTTGCTTCAGGTCTAAATCTAAAGCCTTGTTTTTAGTATAGGACAAAAGGGTATAAAATGCTTTAAAGGAGAAATAAAAGTAATATTCCATATTTTTACCAGGCCTGGCTATGCAGAGAATGCTTTTCTAAGCAGCATTTCAAAAGAAAGTAAGACTCCTTATTTATGAAAGGCAGCTTCAAAGCATACTAGTCACAGAAGCCCTGGTGCTGCTTCTTGTTAGCTGCTTCTGTCGTGTACCACATCCTTGATTTCATTTGCTCTATCTTATTCTGTATCTCTCTTATGGTTTTGTATGACTTCCCTCAAGTGCACTGTGTAGATCCTTTAAAGAACAATTTCTGCTATCAGAAATTACTGCAAATTTGCAATAACCAACCACAAATCATAGTTGGTGAATAACATAGGCTGCAATCCTAAACATACATTCTGGGGAATACATCCCATTGGATTTAGTAGGATGTGTTTCTAAGCAAATGGATTTAGAGCTAAGCAATACATAGTGCAGAAAAAAAGATTCTAAAAAGACTCTGGTACTATCTAGTTCCAAATTAATGAGTCTCATAACTTGGTGTAAAACTGTGGTCTGCATCTTCCTCAAACCTAGGTCTGACTTTTAACCCTAATATGTGAGCTATTCAAAGAATTTACACATTATCTCCAGCTCTGCTCAGTTTCTTTCTGGAGTTAACTGATGCAAAGGAGGACAGGGCTCCTGCAGTCTTAGCACTTGTGTAGATGAGGAAAGTTGCCATATTCAGTTTATTATATAGAAGTGAGAAAGAAAACTCTTTTTTTCTACACAATTATTAACGGTGCAGGAATCTTCATGCAATTGGGTTGCCAAGGCATATTCACTTAAGGGTCTCAATCCACCAGTTGAAGCCACAGTGATATAAAACTGCTAAATGGCTGGCAGTGTATAGTAGTTAGAATGATAGATATGGGCTGAGTAGTCCTGGGTTTAAATCTATGCTGAGTCATGAACTTCACTGGGTAAATTTGGACCAGACATGGTCTCTAAGCCTACATCATCTCACATGGCTGTTTGGTGGATAAAACATGAAATAATACGCATTTGAACTCTGGACTACTTGGAGAAGGCTAAGAAAAATAAATACAACTTACATTTGGTACAGCCATTTAACCATAGAAAATCTCCCACTGAAATTGGATTAAACTAACAGACAATGTTATTCATTTACAAGTTGTTTAGCTTATACTATATCTTATAAAGCATGGGTCCTCAAAGTACGGCCCGGGGCCCAAATCCAGCCCACCATGCCCATTTATCCAGCCTGCCATGCCCATTTGCACCCACCATGCGCGCACACCGCCGCCCACCTCACCCCACGTGTGGGGAGACAGCACTTTGCTCGCTCGGAGAAAACGATCTCCAAGTGAGCAAGCCGCTGTCTCGTGCACCCGCCTTGTGGCTCATGCCCACCCCCACCCACGCCTCTCCTTCCCTTGCCTCCTCTTGTTGCGCATGCCCACCCATGCCTCGCCTCGCCTCGCCTCGCCTTGCCCTGTCCCTGGTGGGTGCCCGCACGCACCACCCCTGTTCCCACCCCCACGCTGGCCCACGCACCCAACCAGCACCTCCTTTCTAGGCCACACCCAGCACTGGCAGCTTTCAACTGGCCCCCTGGTGCAAAAGTTTGAGGACCCCTGTTATAAAGCATATGCTATATAACATATAGTATATACTATGAATATATGTATATATTCACAATTCATTTTTTGAATTTGAAATATAATTCATTTCATATGAATTTGAAATATAATTCATTTTTTGTCTGTGCAAGAGCTTGGTATCATTTTAAATGCAGAATTTCAAAATGTATACGTGTTTTGATATAAAGCTGCAGTTTTCTGAGAGTCCTTTTTCAACCTTGAGTAAAAGCCAAAACCAAAAAAAAAAGCTACGGACTGAAATTAAGAGGTGGGCCAACCCTAAAAATCACAACCAGGTCATACCATAGGCAAATAGGAACTAAACACTCTATGACATTTGGATACCATCAAGAAGGTGGCCAGGCAGATCTGCAAAAGCACTAAGTTATGCAGCTTGGGCTTTACATCACAGGATGCCATTTCCCATCTCCTCACCAACTTCATTATGCCAGCAGAGGGACACAGCAGGACCTTCTCCAACAATATGGGTAGGCAAGATAATGTAGGAGGAGATGCTCATTTAAATAAACAGGTTTTAAGCAACACTTTGAATTGAACTTGGAAATGAAACAGAAACCAGCGAAGCCATCACAGTAATGTGTGTGTGTGTGTGAAGCAAGGTATCCATAATAAAAGAGGAAAACTGTTTCAACTTTGAATTGGTGTCATGCATTACAGGAGAGCAGTAAACTTGACATATGGCTCCAGAGGGCCTACTGTACCTGTATGACAAATTTATTACGCTCATGCATTTACTAATTAGGCTTTAGACAGGCCTAAAAATGTTAGAAATGGGCAATCCTATAGCAATGTACAAGTTGCCCATAGCTGCAAAGTCCTGCCCATTCTTGGAAGCTGATTAGGCCTGGCTAATGCCTGGATAATAAAATTCCCAGGGAAACATGCAGTCTGGTATTAATACAATACTTGTTTCAGTTTAAACCTTTCTGGTCTTGATAATCAAATATACTAATGCCCATGTACATGGAAATGTCACTTCAAATTCACATTCCTTGCAACGTATATGTTCCTCATTGTGTGTGGGGTTTTTTTTTTTTTTTTGAAAGGAGGCAAGATAATCAAAGAAGACCTTTTTATTTAATCAATATTTTAATATGTTTTAATATTGAATTTTATTATTGTATTTTATTAACTTGCAGCCAGAGTGGGTCATCAATTTATTTATGCTGTTAGCCGGCCAGAGACGTTAGTAATTGGACGGCATACAAATTTTATCAATCAGTCAATCAATCAGAGAAAACTAACTTAAGTTTGTTGCAGAGAGAACTTTGTGTAATATGAACAGATTTTTTATCCTTTAAGACTTTCCAAGCCTGTGTATATATAACAGTATAATGATATATGTTTTTAGTTTTACTACATCACCCTTCATAGCCAAAGAATCAAACTGCTATTCTGTGTAAATGCTAATTGCCTTATCAGCTGGCAAATTATTGTAATGAAAATGAGAGAGCACACCTCAGTGGCATATGTAGTTTTCCTTTCTGTGCATATGCAGCTGCTTTATATTGGATCTGCACTGAGGGGTAAACTGTTTATGTAACTGTAGATCAACTTTCCTTATAACTTCCAGATGTGTAACTATGCTGGCCAGGGGTTCTGGGAGTTGTGGTTCAATCCATCTTGGGGACATCCAGTGGGAAAAGCTGCTGTAGATCTATCAGTATTTGAATGTAGTCATTTGTCATTTAAGTCGTTTGTGCAATGTTTTATATGTTTTATCTTTTATATTGTTATTTATTTTATATTGTTATTTTTTATTGTTATTTCTGTATTTTATTTTATGTTGTGAGCCGCCCCGAGGCTTCGGCGAATGGGGCATCATAGAAATGTTTTAATAAATAAAATAAAATGTGAACTATTGCAGCTTTGAGCAGTAACGTTTCTAATCACCTAATCATGACTAGGCCACTAAGGGTATGCCATGGGCTTGTATGGTTCCTCTGCCATCATCTTCCACTTTTCATTTCTATACTATTCCATAGCTGAAGCTTTCTGGCAAATTACAGTAGTTTCTTGCTTCTGTCTTCTTTGAAAATTCCTCTTTTTTCCCCATAGTTTGCTTTAACACCTGTGTACCATCACTGACCAACCTTGCCACACAAAACTGGAATGTACTGTAGAACATGCCATGAGACTCTATGTTACAAGAGAAGGATTGGCAATAGCAGATGAACTATCTATAAAGGAAAAGGGTGTATTTTTATGTATATTCTCATCAAAGAATCTTAAGGGCCATTGTTAGTATTTTAGAACATTTTAAAATGTGTCTATTGTTTTAGCTATCAAAACAGCGTTATCTTCATAATGTTGAAAACTGTCATTGGATTTTTTGGCGATGTTGCCAATGATGTAAAATAGTGTATCTTTGAATAGCAGTACAAATATAGACATAATTTCAGCCTTGGGTTTTTTTAAGGTATTGATTTTATTTATCAATTTATCAGATTATTTATTTAGACTTTGATTTATATGCTGCCTACTTCTGTAGGTTCAAGGTGGCTCAAGAATCATGGTGAACTTTGTGTGTTTTCAAGACATTTAAAGAATTCCTTTTTCTTCAAAGGACCTAATCACATGCCTATGCAAGGACATGGACCGAACCAGCTCAACATGACAAACAGTTCTATGAACATGCCTTCAAGTACACATGGGTCTATGGGAGGTTATAATCATTCAGTGCCATCTTCTCAAAGCATGCCTGGACAGAATCAGATGACAATGAGCCAAGGACAACCTATGGCCAACTATGGTCCCAGACCAAATATAAGCATGCCACCAAATCAAGGTAAATTAAGAAATGTCTTGTTTGTACTCTGTTAAATATTAGTCAAAAGTTTCTAAATAAATAAGAGGGTCCTTTTATGTGCTTTTAATCAAGTTTAGCTAGTATTACATTTATTTCAGTACTAACAACTTTGCATTTTCATTAAATGCTAGGAAGATTGAAGTCCTGAAGCACAGAAAGTTGTTGTTGTTGTTGTATTGAATGTATATACTGGCTTTTTTTCCTCTTGTGAGGAATCCAAGGTGGCTTAGATAGCTCCTTGTTATCCTCACAACTACTCTGTGAGATAGGTTAAACTAAAAGTGATTGACTAGCCCAGTCACCCATGAGCTTCATGGATGAATGGACTATAGAACCCAGACCTCTGAGGGCCCCATTCCAACTCTAACCACCACACAGGCTCTTAGTAATGATATAATGACTTAAAAACAAATGTTTAATAATTTCCACAGTAGCAGCTACTACTAGGATACCAGAAGGACTGGCTCCTCCCATGTGGATTTCCTAATTATTCACATTGTTGTGGGAAGATCTGTTCTGCATTGTGTTGTTCTTGTTAGTCGCGAAGTCGTGTCCGACCCATCGTGACCCCATGGACAACACTCCTCCAGACCTTCCTGTCCTCCACCATCCTCCGGAGTCCACCTAAGCTCATACCAACTGCCTCAGTGACTCCATCTAGCCACCTCATCCTTTGCCGTCCCCTTCTTCTTTTGCCATCTATTGTTCCCAGCATTAGGCTCTTCCCCTGGGAGTCCTTCCTTCTCATTAGGTGGCCAAAGTATTTGAGTTTCATCTTCAGTAGCTGGCCTTCTAAAGAGCAGTCAGGGTTGATCTCCTCTAGGACTAACTGGTTTGATCTCCTTGCAGTCCAAGGGAGTCACAGGAGTCTCCTCCAGCACCACAGTTCAAAGGCCTCAGTCCTTTGGTGCTCAGTCTTCCTTATGGTCCAGTTTTCACAGCCATAAATTGCAACTGGGAAAACCATAGGAAGATCTATTTTGCTTTGTTAGTAGTTTTGAAGATAAGCCGAGTAGGGCCTCCTTGGTAGTTGTGCCCAGACTTTGCGATATCAGCTTTTATCACTTCCTGATGCCATTCCATTCTGCGCACATGGTTTCTACTGTGTTCATTGTAAGTCTCATGCAAATCTCTGATTGGACTCTCTGTATGTTCTGTATGTTCTGTAAAATATTTTTCAGTTGTTTATTCAAAATCATGTTTGATACTTTTAAAAAAATGATTCATTTCATTATTCAAAGTTCAAGTGGCAAAAATGCTGCCACAGGTGGCTAACTTTGCATTAATATAATACCATCTCCACAAAGTATTTGCTTGGAATTGAGCTGTGTTTCAACAGTTTCTTTTGATTTATAAGAGTTAGAGCAAATGTCAAAATAGAGACTGCATACACTGCAGCATATTTAACTTATGATAGGTCTATAACTGCTTGAACCAAGTCAGTCTGTAGTTAGGAAAATTGGAGTTGGCACAGTGCTCTGGTTATAATGAAGAGAAAAAGTAGTGTGGTAAGTTGGCAGGTTTTCCTTGTCTTCTATACAGAGGATCTTGGAGCAGGCTTTATACACCTGTTAAAGCAAACACTACTTTATTCTTTACATAAATTTTTCCTTATTTGCCTGGTGCCGAGCCTATATTCTTTTTCGGAGCCAGGTCAAATCTTTTTATTCAATTGCTATTTTAAAAAATTAAAATTTTAACGGTTTTAACAGTTGCTTTTGATTTAATTTGTTTATTTTTATTGTTATTTATTGTTTTATTATATTGCAATTGATTGTTTTAGTGTATTCTGATTTTGATATTGTAAGCTGTTCTGAGATGTCTCACATATAGGACGGCATATAAAAGTTGTAAAGAAATGATATAGGGCGGCAAAATTAATTAATTAATTGTAGTCCTCACATTCCTGTACCAAATTAGGTCTAGTGAAGTCAATAAAACTGTTCAGGAGTATCTTCAACAGCTATCTAATAGCTGTTTTAAACAAGTCGAACAAGTTCTGCACTGTAACCAGAATTTCTCTCATTAATCAGCTATCATGTTCTGCATGGAAGCCTTACTTTTTTGTGCATCATACAGATGCCGCCTTCCTTTTTGCATTCTAAATACTCAATTTATTTTCTTTTTTTAGTGCCGCCAAAGTATGGTTTCAATTTGTCTTCAGTGTAGGTTACAACAGAACACAATTTAAAAGTGATTTCTCCCCCACATTGTAGGCCCAATGATGCACCAACAGCCACCTTCTCAACAATACAACATGCCCCAGGGAGGTGGACAACATTATCAAGGACAACAACCACCAATGGGAATGATGGGCCAAGTTAACCAAGGAAATCATATGATGGGACAGAGGCAAATTCCTCCATACAGGCCACCACAGCAAGGTAAGATTAGAGGGTATGCATTCTACTGTTCAAGAAATTGACATACAAGGAAAACTTTCAACTAAGTTTTCCATGTATAATCAACAAGTAGGTTCTGCAAAAAAATGTTGTGTAAAATGTTTAGGATTCTGGCTACTCCATTTCCATTCTGCCTCTCCCACAGGTTGTCTTTTCTCCCCTTCTCCTAAGTAGTCAGTATACAGTGCCACTGAGCTCAGTCCTCTTTGTGCTATTTTGGCTTTTTCACCTTTAGGGGAGTTTAAAAAGTGAGTTTGTACCTCTGTAGACTTTTGGGTTCCTCTGAGTCTGCAGGTATTTCCATCTTGTACATGGATGGTGTTGTTTTGGGTACGAAAGAACTGGCTTTCAGAAATTTGTGATTGCTATTTGTCTGTATTATTCCATTTAGATTTCTGTACAATTTATGTTTTTCTATATCAACTTTTCTCAAAGGTGCTATTGTGTAAATGTAGTTTTTTAACTTGTCCATAAGCCTACCCTCTGTTGGTAATTTCATGGCTATAAGAGCAAATCTTTGTAAATCTTTGTAAAGTCTCAGCATTTGGAGGCAAGCACATGACAGGTGGCTATTTAAAAGCCTGTACTTTTACATTTGCCCAAAAAAATAGAACTTGAAAAAGTCGCTAGTATGAATTTTAATGTTGAAATGTATATTTTTCTATCTCTTTCTTTATAAGAAAGCAATATATATTGTCTGTATTTTAGAAACTTATATTTCTAGCATCTTGGGTTTTAAATGCAGTCAACTTGCTTTATGTAATCCATACATGTGTAGTCACCAAGCATTAGTTATGTTCTCCATAGTGACATGGGTGGGGGGAATCTATAGATAAAGGCTATTTCTCATAACAACCTGAGAAATTAGCAAGTATGCTAACAGAGAAAATAAGTTATTTACATATTGACTGGTTGTGGTTTTTCAGGCCCACCACAGCAGTACTCAGGCCAGGAAGACTATTATGGGGACCAATACAGTCATGGTGGACAAGGTCCTCCAGAAGGCATGAACCAGCAATATTACCCTGATGGTAATCTCTCATAATAACTTTCCCATTTTACATACCTGCCCATTACTAGTTATATACAAAACTTTTGGATGAACAATTTTTAGTAACTGTTCACTAGAAGACGTTTTATCTTCAGTCATTTGAAATGTAAAAGATAACTTTATTTTACAGTTCACTCAAGTACAACGTTGTAACTTCAGTTTTAGTATAGTAACAAAGAATCCCCTTCATTGGCTAGATCTACTGAAGATCCTTTACTTACATAGGAGTGTTTATGCAGTCATGTAGTATGTCTGCTGACAATGCTATTTTGCTTACAAAAAACATTTTTAAACTGAGGTTATAGTTGATTGCATTGATACTAAAAGCCCTTAATCATATGAGCAATATGCTTTTGAACATAGTAGGGTTTTTTTTTTAGTTTATGGCAACTTGTACCTGCAGTAACATATCATATATTATGTCATTTTTCTTTTAGCATCCTTATGATTTTTCAGACCATGTAATTTTTGGATTTATTGCATTGTAAGGGATTGCAAAGTTATCTGAATATCAAAGTAAATTCACTTAAATGAGAGGTCCTTATTTAGAATATATGGAGATATAAAGATACTGCTCAGGAAATCAGCTTTTAAACAATAGATATGGTAAAAAGTATAATCTAAACAGATACTGGTTTCTCTAAGAGGCAGCAGTGCATTTTCTATGTAAAGTTCTGGATGAAAGGTAGATCACCTACTTGCAATATTCCATAGCGACTATTTGTTGCTATTTAATTGTATGTGTGTCATCTTTCAATGTGCTGAACTTGGTTGTGCCAAGTTTTAAACTACCCATTTGCCATTGGTCATCACCATATTCATGATTTACTTAATTCGCATGTCACAAAATCAGTCTTGAAATCAGTCTTGAACACCCCTTGTATTGGATCAACCTAGAACCAAATTTGTGAAATACAGGAATATAATAATACTACAGAAAAGCTAGCTTAAAATTTGTTAATCTTTCTCAGAATTCATACTGTGGCATATCTGGCTGCTTTATGTTACATGTAGTAGAACACAAAAAACATAATGTAATGATAATCTCAAACTGTGGTTTAGATAATTTTTGTAAAGACTTTCTAAAATGTACTTGCAGCTAGATAAATTATAGGGATCCACCAAGTTCTGATATGTTTGGCAAGTATATGCTGTTCACCAACAGTCAATGTGACAAATATGATCTACAAATTATGACAGTAATTATAACATGGCTTTCTTTGATAAGCAGGACATTAATGGGATATAGAGATGATGTTCAGTAGACAAAGCTAATTATGAGGATTTAGTTGAGTAAAATGTGTGATGCCCATGATTAAGAAATAAGAGTTTAATAAACGGAGAATGGTCATTACAATCTTGTGATCAAGTCTAGTGACCCTTTTAACAAAAGCACATTTTAATTGTGTCCAAGAGTACATAATGAACTAGATTTTTAATTGCAAATGGAACTATGCAAGTTATTAAAGCCAACATCAAGTCAACTGGATCCTAATGGCAGATGTCATAACATTTACTATTTATGATAATATGGTAAAGCGGAATTTGTAAGGAAATACATCCTTTCTCTTATAATAGTTTAGAAAAACTGAATAGTACTTTTTTTTAGGGTAAAGGCCCATATTTTGAAATATATATTTTATACAAAAACTGTATAAAATTACTTGGAAGTTCATTGAGTTTTATTTGCTGTAGTTCACACTGCTTTTAGCAGCATATGCTTTTGAATTGGAAATCAGTAGAACAGGTGTTCAACAAAGTATGATAATTGGTTTCTTTGTTCCTTCTAATTAAATTCGGGTTATTTACATGCAAAAGGCCTAAATGCTTTCATTAAAAAAAAAAACCAAAGTATTTTTCCCCCTAACAAAGATTATCAGAAACTTAAGACCATTCCTCACTGTGATGTTGCTAAAACTACTTCATTAACTAATTTTCCCCCATCACATGTTAATTCAATATGAAAGGAAATCCTATTGGTAAATCCTTCTAATTCAATTTGAAGGTTCTTTTTTATGTGTTTCCAGCTGACACTGATTTTTCAGTAAGATGAAATCTTTTTAGGGTTTTCACTCAGAGGCCATTAACGTTTCTTCCTGTCTCTTGTCGAATTGATGTAGGTCATAGTGATTACGGTTATCAGCAACCGTCGTATCCTGAACAAGGCTACGATAGGCCTTATGAGGATTCCTCCCAACATTACTACGAAGGAGGTATCTATATACCTTCACACACATGTGCGCACATACATTCCTTTTCCTCTTCCCTTCCACAAAGGAATAAATTCTTGCACAACATAACGTGTTTCCTGCCCATGCAAAGCTCTTGTAGACTATTAGTTGCTGGCTGTTGAGAATTGCAGGGAACTTGAACCATTCAAAATCATTTCTTGCAAACATCTAAACGTATAACCTTAAATTCGACAATTCTAAAATGACTAAGGGCAGAATCCTATGCATGTTTGCCTAGAAAAGATTCTCCAACTCCCAGCATTTGGCAGCCAGTATTGCTGACTGGAACATGCTGGGCATTGTAAGACTTTTTTTGTTTTTATGTTTGTTTAAGCATGCATAGGATTGTGCCCTAAAACATTTAGTATTTTTTTCAATCGAATATTTCTATTTCAACATAAACTCAATGGTCCAGTTATATATTTTGTGTGTATGTATACATACAAATATAGTGCCATTAGGAAACAGCTTGCTGATTTGTGTAGCTAGTATGTGCTCTGTAGCTGTCTTTAATTTTGTCCTTTTTTGTTTTTGTTTTTTTTAGCATAGTCATTGCCTTATCAAATTATGGCATCACATTCCAGTAAACTTAGTGCTTGTTTGGCAGAGATGCTCAAATACTGCAGTTTAGCGTTGCAAAATCTGACTTTAACTGCAGTTTGGCCGAATTCCTTCTATTTTTGGTTTGTTTTCCTTTATTTCATTCAGTTTTTTGAGATCAAGACTGCATTTTCATTTTGTTTCGTGGTGTTCGCTGTGCATCTTTTAGAAAGAAAAATAGAACCCGAGAAAGTGCTTTGTAATTGTCTTTGCTTAACCTCATGTTTCAGGAAACTCACAATACTCTCAACAGCAAGATGCATATCAGGCACCACCTCAGCAACAGGGTTATCAGCAGCAACAGTATCCAGGTCAGCAGGGTTACCCTGGACAGCAGCAAGGTTATGGTAAGTAATGGAAGCCAAGATGAAGTGGAAAACCTGGATGTTAACTGAAGTGTTTTGCATGTTTCAAACCTTCCTGTTAAAGCTTTTATTAACAATGTCATAAATCCAAGTATAGGTGCTTGCCACCACTCTACTTAGATCTATCTATATACTTTTCTTTTGGCCTTCTAAATGCCTTTTTGCCAGTAGCATATGGGACAACAGAGCATTTACACTTGTAGGCTGGCACAGAAGGCAACATTCAGGCAGTTTAGAATATGATGAATAACTATAGGCTGGAAATTAAGCAACTTTGAATTTGAAACAATAAAATGATATTTCTAAACATTTTACACAGAGTTAGAATCTGCACATGTATAACCGCCTCCCCCTCCGTGGAATGGATCAGTTCTAAGAATCCAGATTCATTTCCAAAGCTCTTCTTAAGGCCCTAGCAGGCAGCTGACAATCCCCAAGCACATGTCAAGTCAGATAACCACCAAACAAACAAACAAAACAAACCCCAAGACTTTATCATGTAACAGCAGAGCTTCCACATTCAAAAGAAATTTTCAGGTAAAAGAAATTTATTCAGGTATAAAGAAATTTCTAGTCCTGTTCTTTAACAGAGGAAAACATTCAGTACTGGTCAAAGGGTGATCATCCACCCTTTGCAACATAAGGTTAGTCAATGCTTTGCATGGTATAGTGACAGTAAGAATTAGGGCATACAACAAACCTGTCATGGCCATGCTAATCCAAGTGATTGCTTTCAGGAAAAAAATGTGGCAATAACTGAATATTTAAGAAACTTGACTATTAGCTAGTGAGGGATTTTGTTATCTATTTAACCAAAAGCCTTTTCATACCTAATGTTAAGTTATGGAATAATGTGACACGCACAAGTCACACACTTGTGTATTCCTCCCTCCTCTCTTTCTCTGGCTTGGTCACATGGAGAAGATCAGAAGATTTTGCTTCTGCTTTTAAATTAACCAGAAATCCTTGGTTTGTCTGAATTTGGGGAAACTGATAAAAGACTGGTTAATTCAAATAAGCCAGATTCAAACTGTGATCTATATTCTTGGCTTGTTCATTAACCAATGTCCTCTTATTCAAACATAACAGGGTACTCTAGTTAGTTTAAAAATGGAAATTAGGTGCATTTGAATTCCTTTTGGCCATATCAGAGTTGAAAAGGGGAAGTAATAGTATGTGAGCACACATTTCCATTACATCTGAAGGATACACATAGTTCTTTCTCTGCAAAAATGTGGTTTGCATTTCTAAAAGAGAAGCCAGTTAAATCAAGTTATGGAAACCTTAGCACCTGTGAATTTACATTTTTATGTAAACACTGTGAAGTGTTTACATAAAAATGCTTGAGTACAGTAAATTCCTTACGTTGTCCTTTCCACTACCATCCCTTGCACCCTTGAAAAACAACCTGAGTTTTGGAAATGCTCAAGGAAAACATGGGTTGTGGGATAAGGATCTACAGTGGGAAGAAGAAATTGGGCAGAGGCAGTGGAGCTCCTATTCATGTTAGTTGCCTCCACTCATTTTCCCTTCTCCTATTGTGTTTACCAACCTTCCAGACCTGAGGCTTTAACAGGGTTCCAAGTGGGAAGAATGCCCAAAAGTCCCTGTATGTGAACATCTTTTCACTTGATGCATTGAATAATTCATTATTAATCAGTGTTAATTAAAAAAAACAGGCTGCCTCAGTAATACCAAAGCTAAAAGTAGATCTTTGAAGTCTTAGAGTGCAGGATGCTGCTGTAAAAGACCAATGCTAGCTTGAGTTCAACTGAGATAGCATTTATAGTGTACCCATTATTCTAAGCTTTGGTTAGCATCCAAAGACTGCACAACTATTATTGATTTATTGATTCAGAAATTTTTTTATCACCACCCAAAGGTTCAGGAGCAGACCTCAAACAAGTGATAAAAGAAGGCATTCCATAGCTTACAATCTAAAAGACACAACATAAAGTAAAGGAATAGAGAGGATAAAGGATAAACATTAAGGCTTTCAACAGGGCTAATGGAATAGCCCTGCTTCTCCCTCTTATGTTTGACTGTAAAGCCTGTTGAAATGGCTGCCGAAGTTAAATGAATCTCATATAGTGCTATGAAAAGCATTTAAGATTCAAAAGGAAATGGAAGGAAGTAGAAAACTTAGAGGACATTTTAGTGACTAGGGAGAGTCAAAACCTAATATTGTCAAGTATTGTAAGGGTGTGAGAGATAGAATCTGAGAGCAGAAGGGAAAGATAAATGGATAAAAACTGAGATAAATAGAATAAAGACTGGTCAAAGTATATTCAGGAGAGAAAGGTGGATTTGAGAGTGGGAACTGTTTGAGAAGGGAAAGAGTGATACCTCAGTCAGAAGTTATTAATAAGTTACAGAACATCTTGAAACCAATACGCTTCTTGTTCAATTAACTTTTTATTTTGTTTATTGTTAATTCAGAGTCATAGGCTGTTTAAATATCTATGTCTCACCTTCAGGACCACATAGTCCAATGAAGGAGCCTCATAGTTTGGGCACCATACTGTGGGATAAGTTAATAAGACTGGAATTAAATCCCCGTGGCAGGGTTACATACTAAGAGAAGGAGAGAACGATATCAAGAAAGTTAAAGACACTCCATATCCAAACATATTATAGGAGAATACTCATGACACATGTGTTATCATTAAATGTTAATCCAAAACTGTGAGTTGTTCATGGGGAATTTTACCAGGCTACAGATGCAGCCTCTTTACCTGTCAGTATTGCAGTATCTCAAAGGCAGTTGGGATACAGGGCATGTGTGAAGGAGGGAAACAAGCACTGAGACAACAAACCATAGTAACTAAAACCAGTCAAACCCTGTGTAGGGCAACAAACCATGTTGTAACTAAATGATGGTTTAGCATTACGTGGAAATTAGACCACATTTGCATTTCAGGGATTTTTCTGTTAATATTGCAATTTTCTGAAAAAGTATAATTAATCCCATGACCCAGTATGATAATATTCCTGTATCTGAATTACTGCAGCTTTACACACACCTGTTAGCAATTTTAGTTGAACACCACCACCATAAACAATCAGCATTATCTCTAAAGGGCAGAGAATATGGAGAATATTGTTGTGTTTTACTGTTGCCAGATTACAAATGTGGTATTTCATAGAACCATGATATGTAACATGTATGCTTTCTAGTATTGGATGAAGTTAAATTTATATCTACAGAAATAGACTTGCTTATATATGAGAGTTTCCCTTCTGGTTTTTAGATATTTATAGCTCTTTTAGTTTAATTGGATCCTACAGAGTCTTTAGAGGAAGCATCAAAGTATTTGGACACCAGATTGCAGTTGCTCTGTCCTAATGTTTTTTCCCAATTGTAGAACAAAGAGAATCTACCGTCAAAAGGTATTGAAGCTGGGTAGATTGGAAAAGGAGAGCTAAAGTTTAAAAAGAGTTTCTTCACTTGCCTCTGGTAGGCATCTCTCTGGTAGTCTCGTACATAACATTCTCATTCACAGCCTGCCAGAAAGTGAAACAGCAGGGTATATTTACTGAAACAAAAATGGGCAGTGTTTGTTGTATCAGTGCTTTAGTGGAGGGGCATAATAATTATTATTATTGGCTTTATTAAATCAAGCCTATTGGCTGAGCTTTAAAAGCTGGCAATACTTTTAAACAAGCAAGATAAACATTTGCAAATGAAAATACTGGAATAAAGTGACATAGTAATAGGAGATTATTCTTAGAACTCTATAGTTCTAATAGTACACAAAGAACACTTTGTAACATTTCCCTGCTTCAGGGAAAGAAAAGAATGGGTAACCTTAATCTTTGTAGCTTAAATAATTTTGGTCCCTAAAATATTTTAGGTCCCTCACAAAGTGCTCCAGGACCTCAATATTCCAATTATCCTCAAGGGCAAGGGCAACAATATGGAGGATACAGGCCTACACAACCTGGGCCCCCACAGCCACCACAACAGAGGCCTTATGGATATGATCAGGTATGTTTTTATTCCCTGTCTTGTACTTTTTTTTTTTTTTACAATTCAAGCATTAAGATTTTGAATTTTATGCATCCACTATAAAAGCTTCTAAACATGAAAGAAAATGAGGCACCAAATATATGCAAGTTTATGCAGTTATCTTAGTATAAACCTTTTAGTTATAACAAATGTGTTTCTTCATAATTATTGTGAGTTATTTTGAGGGTGTTGATGCTTAGTCAACTTATTGAAAGTCAAACTCTGATAGCAGTTCTAAGGGTTAGTGTGCATTAGTCTGTGCTACATAGTCAGATTTGTAATTTGCAATTTAGCTTTCTCTCTGACATTGTATTTAGATTGAAGTGCAGCTCTGCAGCAGCTGCTGTTCTAGCTCTTTCTTTTCTGCCTTTTAGACCCAGAAAACAGAACCAGAAGGTGGAGCTCAGCTGTTTTATTTATTTCAAAACCATTTTTAGCAGCTTTTCAAAAGCACTCAAGGTGGCATAGATAAAATGAAATCACATAACAATAATTTTAAAAGCCAATAAATGTTCCAGATAAATTAGCAAATGCAGTTGAAATTAAGGAAGCTTTATAGACCATCCTTTCACTTCAATAGGCAAAACTTTTTAGAGACTAGGGACTACAGTGATTAAAGCTGTTCTCCCTATAGCTATTCTGATCTGACATAAGGAAAGAGATACAGAACAAAGTCTGGTATCCTGACTGCTGCTAAGTGCATGGGCTGATGCAGAAAGAGTTGTTGTTCCTTAGGTATATGGACCATACTGGGTTGTTGTTGTTGTTGTTAGTCGCGAAGTCATGTCCGACCCATTGTGACCCCGTGGACAACATTCCTCCAGGCCTTGCTGTCTTCCACCATCCCCTGGAGTCCACTTAAGCTCACACCAACTGCTTCAGTGACACCATCTAGCCACCTCATCCTCTGCTGACCCCTTCTTCTTTTGCCATCATCATTGTTCCCAGCATTAGGCTCTTCTCCAGGGAGTCCTTCCTTCTCATTAGGTGGCCAAAGTATTTGAGTTTCATCTTCGGTATCTGGCCTTCTAAAGAGCAGTCAGGGTTGATCTTCTCTAGGACTGACAGGTTTGATCGCCTTGTGGTCCAACAGACTCGCAGGAGTCTCCTCCAGCACCACAATTCAAAGGCCTCTATCCTTTTGTGCTCAGCCTTCCTTATAGTCCAGTTTTCATAGCCATACATTGCAACTGGGAAAACCATAGCCTTGACTGTACGCACTTTTGTTGGCAGGGTGATGTCTCTTTTAAGTATGCTGTCTAGATTTAACATAGCTTTCCTCCCCAGGGGCAGGCGTCTTTTAATTTCTTGGCTGCAGTCCCCGTCTGCGGTGATCTTGGAGCCCAGGAAAATAGAATCTGTCACTACCTCCATTTCTTCCCCATCTACTTGCCAGGAAGTGAGAGGACTGGATGCCATGGTCTTAGTTTTCTTAATGTTGAGCTTCAAGCCAACTTTTGCACTTTCTTCCTTCACCTGCATTAAAAGGGTCTTTAGTTCCTCTTCACTTTCTGCCATTAGAGTGGTATCATTTGTATATCTGAGGTTGTCGATATTTCTCCCAGCAGTCTTAATTCCAACTGGTGATTCATCTAGCTCCGCCTTTCTCATGATGTGCTCTGCATATAAGTTAAATAGACAGGGTGACAGTATACAGCCTTGCTGAACTTCTTTCTCAATTTTGAACCAATTAGTGGTTCCGGGTTCCGTGTCCAGTTCTCACTGTTGCTTCTTGACCCGCATATAGATTTCTCAAGAGACAAATAAGATGCTCTGGTATTCCCATCTCTTTAAGAACTTGCCACAATTTGTTGTGATCCACACAATTAAAGGCTTTAGCATAGTCAATGAAGCAGATGTTTTTCTGGAACTCCCTAGCTTTCTCCTTGATCCAGCATATGTTGGCAATTTAAAGCCCTAAACGGCTTGGGTCCTGGCTACCTGACGGAGCGCTTACGTCCATATATGCCCGCCCGCCCCCTGAGATCTGCGGGAGAGGCCCTTCTCCGGGAACCTTCCGTGAAGGAAATTAGGAGGATAGGTACTCGGAGGAGGGCTTTCTCTGCGGTGGCGCCCAATCTATGGAATGCGCTCCCCAAAGAGGTCCGCCTGGCACCATCGTTACTTGTTTTTCGGCGCCAGGCGAAGACCTTTTTATCCAAGCGTCATTTTAATTGTTAATGTTATTTTTATTTTAAAGTTTTTTGGCCAGGGTGACTTATTTTATATGGTTACGTGTATTTTATATTGCTATTTATGTATTTTAATTTATTTATTTGTAAACCGCCCCAAGGCTTCGGCGAATGGGGCAGCCAAGAAAGAAAGAAAGAAAGAAAGAAAGAAAGAAAGAAAGAAAGAAAGAAAGAAAAAGAAATTTGATCTCTAGTTTGTCTCCCTCTTCAACATCCTGCCTGTACTTCTGGTACTTCCACATACTGCTGGAGCCTACCTTGTAGGATTTTGAGCATAACTTTGCTAGCATGTGGAATGAGTGCAATGGTGCGGTAGTTTGAACATTCTTTGGCATTGCCCTTCTTTGGGATCGGGATGTAAACTGACCTTTTCCAATCCTGTGGCCACTGTTGAGTTTTCCAAATTTGCTGGCATATGGAGTGTAGCTTGGTTCTTATGAGGAAATTTGATCTCAGAAATTCAGTTAACTGTATGCTTACTTGAATTCTATACCTGTTCTAAGCACAACACTATAGATAGTTCAGTAGCCCCGTGTTGCTCCTTTTCCTGGAGGAGAAGCTGATAGGAAGTAGTAACGTTCTTTTTGCTGGGCATGTTTCATTCATATATAAAAAGCTGATCATAGATAGCAAGGTGAAGTGAGTTTGTGCTAGATGGTAGAAATCTTGCAGAACTTAAAGAATGCGCACCATCTTTCTACACTTCAATGCTTTATTCTTCATTGTTGTTGTAAAACTTCTAGGTGGATAATAAATGAAATATGTTTGATAGTACAACAAAAAATTGAAGAGATATGCTTTGGAATATATGTTATTGAAAGATCAGAAATGCATATTGTGAGCTTCTCATCCGCTTAAGTATGCCATACAATATTTATCAATGACCTAGAAAAGAACAACAAAACAAACAATATTAAGCACCATGTCCTTAATATAAGAATTCCAATGGACCATCTGTATTTTGATTTTGGATATTCTGGTAATAACCTGCATCTTGATAAGAGAAATGTATATTTCCATCTCTTTGAATAGAGCTCTGCTATGCTATAGTTCTGGATTCTGAACAGTGAGTTTATTCATGCAACAATATATTGTATAAAATTGTCTTATTTTATACCTTCATGGAGTCAGCTTTTAAACATTTGAGTCTACGTTTTGTTTACATGGAAAGGTATCTTTTGCATTTTTACAATTTGTCACTATTACTAATATGTGATATGGATGACCATGGTTATTCATACTCTGGTTCATACTCTGGTTACTTCAGATTCAGTTACTGTAATGTGTTTTATTTATGCGCACTTTCCTTTGGAAATGGCATCTAGTCCAAACTTCAGCTATTAGACTGCTATCAAGCCAGGAGATTATCTCATGTCTTGATGGTTGTTAAGAACGTGTAACATTACAAGCTGTGTAGGGGAGCCTTGAACCTAGTCTGCTGACCCTGTTCTCAGTATGCCCAGTTATGTCAGCCACATGTATGCCAGCTGTAGCCTTTCCTCATCAAGCAGGAAGGGGAATTCTAAATATATCCAACTGAACGAGCTTAGAAGCTTCCCTGTTATTGGGAACATTTTTCTAAAAGGATTCTGAGCACATCCTTCTGAATGTGCTCAGAATCTCCCTTCAGACTTTCCTCTTAATGCAGGAAGCTAAAAGGTGGAAATATATGCCACAGCCTGGCATATATGGAGATAGTGAGAGAGCCCCCTGTATGGGTTGTGTCCTTGTGTGTTCCTTTAACACCTATGTGGGCAGACAACTACTATAGGGGAAGCATTGTGGTGGCATCTTGCTTCTGAAATACCCTCACCAGGAAAGCTCACATGATATCTGCAGTGTTATTTTGGTGCTAGACACATACCCTTTTATTTTTCCCAGGATTTTAACCTTTTAAGAAGTTGGAGGCCATGTTCCTATTTAGCTATGCTGCCTTGAGTTCTTCTCATCTGGGTTTTGCTGCTGTTTTTCACTCTATTTATATTTGCTATATTTTATATTATGCTGCATTTAATGGTAAGCTTTTCTAGGGATCCTGTAGTGTTGGTTCTGTTGGAAGAGACAACAATTAGAAATTCTTCATGCCAGTATCAGTTTTAAGCAAAATAAGTAATTCCAAATTTTATACAACCAAATTCAGTCTTGAGATTGTGAAATGAATCTGTATAGCCGTATTTCAAGTTAAGAAGAAATGAAAGCATAGAAGATGCAAGAAAGCATAGAAGATTTATATCCTGTGTACTGTTTTGTAAAAATCAAGGAACTACATTCTATTTATGTCTTCTCTTTTTAGGGACAGTATGGAAACTACCAGCAATGAAAAAAAGTATAGCCAATACCTTAGGAGCCATGTTGTCTCTGCAGCACTGTGGACATCTCTTTTGGAGAGAAATTATCGATTCCATCTAGTTTTGGAACAACAAAATGAGAAAAACAAACACATTATTGATAAATGGGTCTTTTGCAGTATATTGCCTGTCCGAGATAGTTACAGACAAAACTGAAAGTCTTTCTAAAAAAAATTTTACCATCTGTACTCTAGATGGCAATATTGGACAGAAAATACATTCACAGTTTTGCAGTGGGCTTAGAACTCTACATCAGACAAACTGTTACAGACTGAAATGTGTGAACAGCATTGTATGTTTATGAAGGTTAAGGGAATGTAATATTTTTCCACAGATTCTTTTGTAAGGGGAAGGGGGAAATTTTTACAGCAGCAATATTTTATACATTATGTTTTTCATATGGAATATGCAAGTCAGTACACTACACACAGAGCAAGGTCAGAAACCCTTATAGATAAGAAATTTGGATTGAAACATGATACATTGGTCATTGTGTTGGTCTCGATATGTTGTGTGAGATCGAAAGTTGCTCAACATTCTTGATGGACCCTTGTATGAAGAATTTATATCAAACTATTTAAATGACAAGGTGATCATGGACAGTATGATGCAATTTAGTATAAAAAATAATTTTGAAATACTTTGTGTGAAGCTATTTTGTAAAAATGGTTTCTAGCACTGGCAATTTTCTGTGTTGCTTTTTTCTCCCCCAGTAGCAAGAAAACAAATTGAATTTGTAACAGTTGTGTAATAGTTTCACATAAATCAAGCTGCAATCACTTTCTGATTGCAGTAACAAGAAATTTGAAGAACTCTTCATTTGGCTTAAATATACAAAGTATTTAAAAAGCAAATCATAGATAGGTTGACATATTTTATTTCATAAGTGTATTTAACTTTAGTAGTATAATTTCTATGTAATAAAATAGTATAGAAGCTTTTGTAAAACTCTTCTCTAAACTTTCACATTTGAGAGTTAATATCTTTAAGAAAGAAGACATTTGTTGTTTATGTCCATATTTGTATTCTTTAATATGAGACCAAGAGCAGGTTTTAGCGAGGTTTTTAAAAATGCCAAATTCTATTGTGAATTGCATTAATGCTTAAGGTATTGCATGTGAAGTAGCCACTACAACAGCAGAGCCGTAGAGAACACAAACTGTTCAAGAAGCTCTTTCTGTTTTCTTTCAAGTGCATGATTGAATACTGTGTTGCACAGAAATACATGCAGACAGTCTTGAAAATATTTAACTAAATATAACTAAAATAAGCCCTGGAGTTAACATACTGTTACTATGTGTTGCTATATTTTAACAGGAAGGTAGATTTATGATGAGCTGTACTTGAATAAAGAGATAAATAGATGCATTCCTCCATAATTTTAATGGAGAACAAATTCATTTTTTACATTGGTTGCACATTTAAATCAAGTTTAATCTGAAAACAAGAAGAATATTGGTATGAGTGAAATGCTTTAGGTTCTGTGCCAATTTTCCACCATTGTGTACTTCATTACTATTTAAAACTATCAACTCTTAACAGAAGAATAAATTATTTGTGATTTTAATTTTTTCTCCTTTAACATTGGACTCTACATCTTTTATTTTGTTTGGAGACTAAAGATTTTTGGTTTTTAATACTGATTCAGGATATCCAAATTGTATTTGTATTCTAGAACTTTATAAAAATTCTTTTCCCATAGCTGTTAATTAGCATTAACTGTTGAGTAATCAACATGTTGCTGTATGTGTAGGCTGTTCGTTACATAATTCTCTCTGAAAATTATGGTCCATGAAGCTATAATCAAGATGACTGAATTAGATAAATGAGTTGAGACAAAAATGCGCTGAACATAACCTGCTATAGATACGTTATCTCATTTAAAATAAGCTCAACTGACATTAAGAAATAATTTGTCTTTCCAGTCGATCTTCTGTTGTCTCATTCTCATTTTTAATGGAAACTAAAATTGCAGTTTTAATAAGCAGAATTTCCTCCAGGGTTTCTCTCCTTGGGAATAATGTGTTTTCAAGGTTTAATTGTTTTATAACGGTCCTATTTCATAAAAGTTTTTAATTGGTGGTGACAAACATTGCCTTATTCCTCTGATATTATGTTAGAACAACAAGAAGAGAGAGATTCCTTTTCATTATTGGCATTGTGTTCTATGTATTCAGAAACCTAAATAAAGTAGAATTTAAAGACAAAGAGTATAGAAGAAAATGGAAAGTACCATATGCTGTATTGTACAATATGCAAGTGGCTATCCTCCAGTAAAAGAATATCCAGCCCAAGAGATTAAAGCTGTATCACTGTATGTCATTCTGGAAAAAAAGTGAAAGTAGAAAGTAGTTTGTCAAAAAAAAATTCAATATGGTAGAAGAAATAAAATATGAACCTTGCCCCTATACATTAATTTGAAAAAAATAAAATATTTTAAGACAACATTACAAGAATCTCTTGAACAGTAGCATAACTAGCTGGGAAAATAATATGTAACAATCAATAAAATACAGCATTACTAAGTTGGTCTTTAGTCAAAATTCAGGTGAAATGATGAATACAAGCTTGTTAGACACTCCATGCAGACATAATTTAGAAACACTTAAAGCGAGTTTGGGTGATCTGACTTGATTGATGGGCTTTACCCTGCGAAGAGGAAACAAAAGGATTGTAGTAGCTATGAAAACATCACTACAGCCAGTAGCCATCTGGGATACATAGTATTGCTTCTGATCATAAAACTGTTGTGACCTCTGATGCTCTTCCTGAAAGGCTTCCTCAAAGGCTGCAAGAAACCATTCTTAGTTACTTTTTCTTTGTGCCAGTGTCCCTGTCCACTAGTAAGTGCCACAAAGCCAATATGCTCATTAGTACTGCACCCTGAAGACCTCCCTTTGGTCCAGCAGCTAAATAGAATTGTCCTTTTGAAATTACTCATTCCTGAATGAAATGAAATTCCTGTGCAGTTCATGTCTATTATACTTTAATAGTACAATTCTATTTAGTAGGAAGATTCCAAACTTCTTTGTGAAATGAATTTTTATCCTGGCCTTGGTAACTGTTCCATTTTGGCCTTGCTGCTCACAACAGTACACTGAGGGAGAGATACTTTGGAAGGCTTCTTTAACTCAAACCTGACAAAGTTGATGGATTTCTATTATGTAAGACAGCCCCAGATGATTTGACATCATTGGTGTTCTTACCATAGGCAAAAACTGTTCCAGTGTACCCTTACTCACTAAAACATTTGTGTTCATGTTTTCACCAGACTTACCTGGATGTCTGCCAATGGAATATATTTGACCAAGAAATCCTGACCAAAAATTCCTGTTGCATGCATTTTGATTAAGGAGGCTCATTTTCAAACAAATGTTAGTGCTACCGAACTCTTTGTACTCCTGTTACCCAGTACTTTGTTTGGTGGATTTATACTATCCGTTGCCTTTAAGCCCACTCTGATATGGCAGTGGTAGTTGTTTCAGATGTCGATATATATGGCCAAATAACACAGGTAAGGTTCTAAGTATCTACAAACAGTAAATTAAACAGAAACTTTGTGACAAAGGTACTTCTGGGCTGGACATGTGGCATGAGTTAATATATGAACATTTAAAGATGTTTTCCAACCCTATTGAAAATTGTTTCCATCTTGATCCTTATTGGTCCATGTCTTTTTAAGTTCAGGTTTTTGCTGCTATTGTATAGTCAGACTGATTCTACTTGGAACTTAACTTGTTCACCTACCTGCAGGCACTGGAAAACACTGCCAACAATTCAACTATTAAAAAAAATATGTCGTAAATGGTTTGATGGGCCAAATGCTTCCTCGCTGTTAAAAACTTTTATTAAAATCTGCATGGTGCATTGAATTGTGGAACCCTTTTTTCCTACCTGTGGGGCTACCAATGGACTTGGCTGGATGCTTGCATGCTCTAACACTACATGCCCCTATTAAATACCTCTCTGCAATGTCCAAAAAAACCTTTCCAGCTTAACTTATTTTTTATTTTCAATTTTTCAAAGCAAAAAATAAGGATTTATGATACACATGATTTATGTATAGATTTCATTAACCTACCAATAAAAATATAAATATTAGGAAACAGAAATTTGACAATAAGTGGAAGAGGACATGTCCTTTCAAAATTCATTTATGTGTTTGATATCAATTATGTGATTACCTTGACAAATCTAAGAATCTCTAAACTCAGCAATGCCCTGGGTTAGTTATACATTCAGTTCTTCGATCAGCAAGGCAGTGTTTTTCAGTCATTTATTTGATCTGAGGTTTCCTGATCTTGATATTGCCTTTGTCAAACTGGTCCTTTCATTCTTATCACTTAGGTTGAACCTACCCACCTCATCTTGAGGTTAGGGCTTTGCAAGACAGATTGTCTTCTCACTTTAAAGGAGAATGGAAATGCACCTGAGATAAATTGACATGTTCCTATGATTGTGTATAATACAGACAGCTCATTAAAATCCTAACATGGTTTTCTTATTTTTCCAGTGGGGTTGACACTGCTTTTATTTCATGAGAGATCACAGAAATCCAAATGTGAATGATGACTGTTCTCAGTTTTCATCACTATATTGCTGTCTGGACTAGCAACCTATTTCAGTCAAGTATAGCAAATTAGTAATCAAGTTATGCTTCTCATCCCTTCCTCTAATACTTATGAAGAGACAGATAAAAAGTGTCATAAGGGTGTCTGCAAAAATTATATTTTAATTGGTGTGATTAGGATGGAGCCAAAGTTACACTTGCTGAAATCAATGATGCCTGCTAGCCATTGCTAACTTGTTCCATTGATTTCAATGGAACCAAAGAGTGACAAATTTCTGGCTCACTCATCATTTCTAGAACTGCAAAATGTTCTAGTGCTTTCCAAGTTAATTGGATAATTGTGGCATGAACTTCTATGGGCAATAACTTATGTTGCTGTGTCATTGAAGTAGCAATCTGAAGACAGCAGGAGTGTGTCTCTGAATCATTTCAATGGGGCATAAACCAGCCCCTTGTCTGGGCAAAGATGTTGCCACATTGTGTGCAGAATTCCCCCCACTCCCACCCACCTATAAGTTGCAACAGGGTAACCTAGTTCATCTGGTCTCAAACCATATTGAGAATCTCTTGTAGATTTATTTATGTAATTATTTATTTAAAATGTTTGTATCCCACTCTTTACAATGTCTTGGGGTGGGATAAATAAGACAGTATCACAATAATATATAAAATCAACATTAAAATACTAACTTTTAAAATGCTGGCAAAATAAAAAGGGTTTGGCCTGGCACCAAAATGAAAAACGTGTTGGCACCAGGCACACCTCTCTGAGGTTACCAGATTTCAGTTGGAGTACTCCTTACTTCGCTGTTCAGCTTGAGCAGAAACAGATAATTTGTTGATTTGTTGACCTAGCAGTATTTCTGGGGATGTGGGTAAAGAAAATACCATTTATTACTAGCATATATGTGCTATCAACAACTGTACTATGAACAATCTCTTTTAATACTACAATTGTCACTGTTAGTATTTCTGTATTTGCCTTCTGTCCTCATTGTTTACTATTTTACTACCACCACCACATGTACTGCATATATATCTCCAACTTGCTAACATTCCCTACTTCTAATGAAGTGAACTATAGTCTGTAAACACTATTGCCAGAATAAATGTGTTAGTCTATATAAGGTGTCACAAGATTGATTGGTGGTTGTTTTTGCTTTGTTTTGTTGGTTTTGCTTGATGTTTTTGCTTTGACTAACATGGCTACTTTCTTGCAATTACTGAGCATGATTTCTAAAGAAAACATAGTTTAACTAATTGTTTAAAGAAAACAGTTTAACAAAATACCAAAGGGTATATCCAAATTGAGAGACTCTTGTATCTTTAAAAAGAAAGAAAACAAAAATTCTGTCCTGAGCCACACTTTTATTCTGTTCCTTTTTCACCACCTCTACAACAGGGGATGCCTGTTTTAATCCATACAAGTCAGTACTTAGTCTTCACTCCCACATAAACACAATCATTTTGCAAACATGTACTAATATTAATTATCCCCTTGGCACCAAGAGTCAGGATTTCCTGATGCAGCCCGCTAATGTAAAATGCATTAGTGCAAATGCTGGCTCCAAGAGTTTAGATTTAGATTCTCTTAAATAAACAGCAAGAATGAAGAGTAGATCGGAGTTCTATACAACTAACTACTATGAAGGACTAGTTTTTCACCAAAGCTTCTACTGCCATTCTCTGTTTTGCTATAATGTTTTAAAAAAAGAAATGGAATATCCAGAGAAAGGTCAATTAGATTTGGCTCATTTTGACATCCAGATGCAGTCTGGGTTTGTATGGATGGGAAGCAAATAAGGTGCTTTACAGAACAGGGTTCTGACATACCAGTTGCACTTGGAACTACTATTTGGATGCATCTTCACTGTACTGGGTTTGAACTTGCCCGATTTCATTTTGGCAGTCAAGTGGAGCATATAGCAGTTTTGTGACATTTGATAATACAACACATATTTGAATAATATAATTCTAAGCAAAGCAGAATACATAGA